TTGTCAGGCTGCATCTATCCATGTTCTCTCTCTGTCTCTCTCCCTCTCCCTACCCTGTTGAATGACAGGCGGATCCGGCTCGCTGTTCAGCTCCCAGTAGCATTTGCGAGCCCACATTCGAGTCGTGGACAGCTCAGCTTCTCCTAGCAACTCCTTGAAGTTGGCATCTGTGGATGAATTGGCCCACGTTCTAACCGTGGACTGCCTACCACCTTGCTGGCACCTGCAAGCCTTCTCTCCTCCGCGATACGCCAGGCTTTGCGCAGTCTTTTAAATCTCATATATGGATCTGTGCTTTGCAACCAGTCGTTTTCTGAAATGGACGTACTTCCTTTCAAGAAAGACCGCTGAAACGACAAGCACATCCAATTTCATTGAAGCTTTGTGCAGCCGGATTGACGGAAGATGTTCTAGCTCTTGCTCCACATGTGTGCGTCGCATCCCATGTTCCTTGTTCGATATTGGTTTCTGCCTTTCGCTCTCTTGTGGATTCTCTATTGAGCTGGTTTCTCCTCTCCATCTCTCTCTCTCTCTCTCTGGTATTCTTTTCTTCTCTCCCTCTCTCTCTCTCTCTCTCTCTCTCTCTCTCTTGTCTCTCTTCTCTCTCTTCTCTGTGTCTCTCTGTGTCTCTCTGTGTCTCTCTGTGTCTCTCTGTGTCTCTCTGTGTCTCTCTGTGTCTCTGTGTCTCTGTCTCTGTCTCTGTCTCTGCCTCTGCCTCTGCCTCTGCCTCTGCCTCTGCCTCTGCCTCTGCCTCTGTCTCTGTCTCTGTCTCTCTCTCTCTCTCTCTCTCCCTCTCTGTCAGCCTGAGCTGGAGGTGGGGCCAAGCAGACCTGCGGCTGTCATGTCCTGGACGGCCCTGGCCTCAGAGGGCTAGGCAAGGACAGGGTGGAGAGACAGGCAATCAAATTGACCTCAAAACCGAAACTTAGTAGATAAAGATCAACTAAAACCAATAGAAACAGAATGCACAGGAAATCAAATATGAACAAACGGACAGACTAATTAACTCGAGAGCAATTAACAGCTGACGACAAATGAAAAAGGACAGACCGTGCACAACAAAGACACGAACAAAGACAGCCTGATGAGACCAGCAGCAACAAATGACCGATAAACATATGTCCGAATAGCATTTCAGCGAAAAAACTAAAACACACAAACAACCAAATAGAGATGGAGAAACACACAAACTGCAGTTCCGCCAAGTCTCACCCAGGAGGTTGAGGAATTTCGTTGCTCGACCCGACGACATGTTCCTGCCACGACGTCAAGCCGCCAAGGAAATCTTCGAATCCCAATACCAGCGCATGTCCCCATATCCCCGTCCTTGACGCGTCCTGCCCTGTGTTGGAATCGGCCAAGCGTGGATGCAATCTGCAAGTTGGAGCCCACTGGTTGCAGCAACAATCACATCAGGTGCTCTGTTGTTTCAAACATGCAGTGCCCTCGACATGGGGCTTTGAACAATGCCGTAACCAAGTCGAAAGATGCTCTGTGCCCGGAGGACATGTCACCATGATCGACATCACCAACATTCACACCGGCTATAGTTTCAAGCACTCCAACCACATCGCCATCACCCACAACCCATGGTGGCACCCGGTGATCAGACGAGCGCAGCTACCCACATGGCCCACGGTACGATGACATATTTCGTCACGTATCTTTTTGTGAAAGCGAGGCGATACTGCGGGAACTATCTCACCCAAATCCTCACCCAAGTGCTACGGGGCAGAGAGAGAGAGAGAGAGAGAGAGAGAGAGAGAGCTCGGCAACGAAACACAAAACACAGTGTGGCGGCTTGAATTACCTGACAAGGTTCGACACATTGCGGCTACAAACTACAAGTACCGACTCTTCCTTGAGTGTTGCTTTGCTAATCCGCTGTGAGCAACTTCGCACTTCGGAAGGGTTTCGGGTTTGGGTTGAGATGCTGCAGCCTGCCCATTTTCACTTCTCACCAGGACAACGAAGTACTGGGCCCTCCCTTCAACCAGTATGCCACGAAATAACTAGCCAAAGTATACCGTTCTTTCTGGCATCGTCGAATGTGCGGGTTGTTCTGTTGAGAGGGCTAGGCTACAAGATGCGACAGCCTCTCATTTGCACCATAGCTTTCGACAGTCGGGAGATGTCAGGAGCAAGGTGGATTCCAGGTGCTGGGAGCTCGAGACCAAAACCCTCTCACCCTCTTTTTAAGGCAGGCGAAGCCAAAATGAGGGTGGACAGCGCAGTCTTTGCTGCACAGCTTGTGGAGGAGCACGAGAACCATCGCCTTCCTGACGGCAACAACTCAACAACCGTGCCATGCCAGCACGTTGAGCACACGCGGCAAGAGCAGCGGGCATGGGGAGCCCTGGAACTCCTGCCCAGCATGGGATGCTCTGCATCAGAAATGTCTAAGCTAGATCAAAGTTATCGTGTGAGCGTCAGCAAAAGAGTGTGCCAGATTTTCTGGACATCCTAGGGTCCAGCACAATAGCGAAAACTTACAGTCTCGTTCTCGCTTCTCGTAGCCCAACACGGTGCTCCCAAGCCACCGCTCTGTCCCCTGAAAACACTTGATTTAAGTGAAACTGCACGGCCACGGATCCAGGCACACGTGGACCTCAAGCCTAAAATGACAGGGTGTTTGCATCATACGATTACGGCTTCAGAGCTCGAGAGTGCAGCACAGGGTATGAAAGCACGGAAAACAAGCTCTGGAAAGCAACATCGTTTGTCGTCTAGTCAGATGAATGCATTGGAAGGGATGTGTCTCTAGCATCGCCGTTTCTCAAAAGTTGGCGAATTGCCCGCACACTATTTGTTTGCATACCCAATCTGCAGCAGCATAAAGGAGTGATCCAACAAAGGTAAGAAACTCCTCGCACCTCCACGCCGGCCTCGCCGCGGCGCTCCGAATAGGACCTCGGAACAGACCGTATGTGCCCGTGCCCGCTGTCTCGTTCTTTGTGCAGGGTGGGTTAGCTGCTGAGGTCCAGGCTGCACCTGGTCAACGCTGACCTGGCCAACCGAGAAGTACTTGGCCTGGCGACGCTCGTTGTGGCTGAGCATTGTGGCTGAAGGCTGTGGCGTGTGCGCTTTACAATACTTACTAGCCTCCGGATGCACGAAGACAAGGGCCGACACAGATGAATTGGCCTGTCAACGAGATGCGGCTGGGACTGGGGACTATGCGCCGTGCTGTCTAAGGGCCGGACATCATCACGTAGGACTCGGTCAGGGACAGCTTCTCATCCGTCAGCTTTAAACTGGCTGCCTTTCGGCGCCATTTGCTGGGGACCATTCCCACTGCAAGCTGCTGAACCCGCCCTCCCAACGTGCAGCAAGGGTTGGTCAGAGAGGTTTTACGTATCGGTGCAAACAAGCTGCTCTCGAAGAAGTGCGCTCTTGTAGAGGCCGAAGTAATTTCTGGCAGACCTCGATTGCTGCGTGCATCTGCAGCGGTGGGACGCAGCGTTTGTCAACTGCAGGCTTTGCTGGGACTCCCAGCATCGGCACTCCGGCTCAAGCCCGGACCCCAGTGGAAAATCAGCACCGGCACCTCGTCGACAGGATGCCCCCCTGTAGCTTAGCACCGGAGGGAGTTGAGAGCAATGACCAAGGGTGAGTCTGCATGCTTGGGATTGCTTCTTTGCGGCTGCCAAGCGACGCTCGGCGGAAGCGATCCCGCGATCCCGACGGGATTCGGACAAGCTTGAGCGACCGATGCTTCCCCAGCTGTGGCTTCTTGGACTGCGCCTGAAACCGCGGGCAACATGCTTGCTCTCGTCCGAGGGTCAAGTCTTGTCAGCGGGCCTCCTTCAGCGACTTCCACTTCTTGTCGATCAAAGTCGCGTAGTATTCAACCCTGATTTCCGCATATTCCTGGGGCTGCCACGACTCGCAACCCGCGATCTCTCCCAGCAGTGCCCCCGCTGCAACCGTGCTCCTCCTTGTACGTTTGTTTGTCCACGGACCTGGTCAGCCAGAGCAGCAAGTTGGCGAACACAACGGTAAGGCAGACCTTGACTCGAGTCTGTGCACCTTAGCCTTTTGCGACAGGCTGTACTATCTGTCAGTGGTCTCTGGAAGTCGTTGGTGTTGCACAGCCATTTGCTGTGTGGTGTGCAGCTCGTTGCATGAGTTGAAGCTCGCGGCCGACAGGGTTCACGTCTGCGATCCACGGTTTGAGGATCCAGCAAAGAAACGGCCTCTGACTTTCCAATTCATGTCCCCCTGCCGTTTGTGACGCTGACATGCCCTGGACATACCTGTGGTACAGCTCAGGCTGTTTGCACTCTGAACAGCTGCGAAGATGAGAAGCCAGCATCAGTGCACTCACGACGGTGCAGCTTCTGCTCGCATCCAGGACCTGTGCGACGCGCATGCCACGCTGCCGGCTGTGACCCGAGGTATCGACGTGAATCACGCCGTTGTTGTACTTGGCAGTGATCTTCACCGCCTTGTTGCCGTTGATGGTGCTGGGTTCCAAGTTGTCTTCTAAGATCTACTCATGGAGCGCCCCACCGTGTGCCGATTCGTTGTGGTGGCGCCACCGATCATCAACGGCGCCTGGCACCCGAGGAAAAGCAGCACATCCCCCCCATTCATCCCCATTCTCAGCAAGACACACGCAGTGGGTCGCCTTCATGCCACGCGCCTTCATCTGCTCCTGAGATTCGCATGAGGTAGCAAATCGCAAATCCGGACAACTAAGCAGTCCAGGCACGGACAGCGACGTAAACCATCTCGTCCAAGGAGGGTGTGATTAGCCTCGGCGCGAAGCCTGATTTCTCGAATCACCAGAAGTCAAGCCCGAGAGGCAGGCCCGGAAAGTCCAATGACATCCACTTTCTCCTGCGATTTTGCTGCGCACGCATCTGTGCTATGAGATCTACTCGGTGCTCGCATCTCCCTGGCTCATGTGCGTCCTCGACAGCCTTCTCCAGGATGTTTCCCCAGGGCACCATTACACCCATGTCGATCACCTAGGTTCACCAACCAAGAGCCAGGCCTCACCTGGCCTCAGCACGCACAGCCTGTCAGCATGTGTCGTCCCATCGACCACTGACGGCCAGAAAGTTTTGCAGACTCGATGTCAATCTCTGGCCACTTGGCCTTCTTCATGACCCGCGCGCTCCTGATGACCTGCAAGGTGCAGAGACTCGCGATGTTGAGAGTGAAGCAAAGCCACAGGCCTGCCTGCCGGCTGGGCCGGCTGAAAAGGTGAAAAAAAGCTCCTGGAACTTCCAGTCGCGGTTTTCTTGCCCTGCTGAGCGGATCTCTCGCGCATGAGGGCGAGCCTTCCATCAGCGGCCCCTCGATGACACGCAGCGGGACTTGCAGTTCGGCCCGGGCCTGTCGCCGTCATGTCAATGTGCCAGGCACAAGCCTGCAGATATAAAAGCGGACCTCCTCGGTATCCCCCTCAATGAACTTGTCGATACCGTTGATCAGCCTCTCCGGCACAATGCCACACGAGTCATGCTTGTGGGGGACGGGGACGTAGCATCTTGGCCAAGGCCGCTGCCCGCAGTGCAGACGCTCTGTGAATGTGCCATTTCGCCCATTTCGCCAGGCATCCTTTGCTTCTGGCTGGCTGCGAGGCGACTTGAGACTTGTGAAGCCTGCCTTGGCGGGAGCACCACCTGCAGCAGCGCCCGCAGTCGGGGCAGGCTTGCGGACAGCCTCTGGTGCGAAATTGCGTTCCGTCTTGTGAGATATCTTGGGACCTTTTATACCCTTTGAGACAGACAGCACGGAGTCGGCCTCTGCGTGCTCCAGGAAGCGCTCGACCTGCAGGCACAAGGACCAAGACAGCAAGACAGCACGTTCTGATCCGCAAATACCGCAGCTGGGCAGGCTGGTGTCTAGGCTTCCTGCGTGCGTGCCATCTGCAGGCTGGTTCAGGATCACCTGCGAGAAACAAATGATCGAGCCAGCTGAGATCAGCACAAGGAGCCGCGCGCCTCTTCCGCCAGCTTGCGAGTGTTCTCCTCCATGTCCGTTTGCGGGAGAGGCCCCTCCAGGCTCCGCTCCGTACTTTGCCCCGGCCTCCAGGGTTCACGATGGACATGTTCAGGCCATTTCGCCCTTGGGCACTGCGTGGAAGAGGAACACGCTGTGCATGGCATCCCGGAGGGAGTTCAAGCCGCGGAAAGAGAAAGACAGGTTGCTCAAGCCACCGGAGAAGGAGACGCATGGGCAGGTGCGCTTGTTCTCCGCCAGGGCATTAATGAAGCCGACGGCGGTACGAGTTGTGTTCCGGCAGCCCAGTGGCAATGGTCAGCACGTTGCAATCGAAGATGATATCCTCTCGGGGGAAGTCGATGTTCTCACGCAGGCACTTGTAGCTGCGCTGGCAGATGCGAACCTTGTCCTCGAAGGTGGCTGCCTGACCCTTCTCATCGAAGGCCGTGATGACGACGGCTGCGCCATAGCGCATGCAAAGCATCGCTTGACGAAGAAACTCTTCCTCGCAGACCTTCAGTGAGATCGAATTCACGACGCACTTGCCCTGAACGCATTGGAGGCCCTCCTCGACCACAGGCCACTCGGAGGAGTCAATCATGAAGGGTAGCTTGGCCTCATGAACTTGCTGATGGCCGACTACCCATCGATCAGGTCCGAGTCGAAGTTGAAATCGAGAATGTCCGCTTTCTTCTCGCACTGGCCGACGCAAACCTCCATGCCATGGCCTCATCCCACTTGTAGGCATCCACCAGCTTCTTGAATTTGGCCGAGCCCATCAGGTTGCATCGCTCGCCGACCCACTGGAAGCCTGCCTCAGCGGTCACGTGGCAGGGCTCCAGGCCGGACAACATCATGCTGGGGTACTTGGGCAGCTCTGGAAGCTTGCGCACTGGGCAGTCCTTCACCAACTTGCAGAACAGCCGCGATCTGGGAAGGGAAGGTGCCGCAGCAGCCACCGACGAAGTTCAGGATGAGATCCTTGGCTAGTCCAGGATGTTGCTAAAGAAGATCTCGGGGTCTTCGTCATAGCCGCCCGTGGCATTAGGCAGGCCAGCACTGGGGCAGACATGGCACCAGGCTGAGTTCATGTCGCAGAGCTTCTTGTAGGAGCCCTTCATCTGAGCCGCACCCAGGGCACAGTTAATGCCAACGGTGAAGGGCTGCGCATGCTTCACACTAACGTAGACGGCCTCGATGGTCTGGCCAGAGAGCGTGCGGCCGCTGTTGTCCACGATCAGCTAAGCATCACTCGCAGCCGCTCCTTCTTCGACTCGATGAAGTACTGGTCCACTGCCAAGATGGCCGCCTCGCAGTTCTGGGTGTCGAAGACCGTCTCAATCATCAGCAGGTCGACGCCACCGTCCACGAGACGAGACTCCTCACCTGCTGCTTGTAGGGCTCCACAAGCTCGTCCCAAATCACACTGCGGAAGGATGGATCCTCCACACTGGGCGACTCGCTCAGGGTGCGGCTGGTGGGCCCAACTGCACCTGCCACGAATCGGGGCTTGTGCCGCTCCTCCTTCGTCACCTCAGCTGCTGCCTTCTTCGCAAGCTGTGCTCCCACTTTGTTCATCTCATGGACAACGGCCTGCATCTTGTACTCGCCCTGCGAGATGGTCGTGCCGTTGAAGGTGTTGGTCTCGCAGATGTCTGAGCCAGCCAGGAAGTACTCCTTGTGGATGTCCTTGATCATGTCTGGCTTGCTGAAAATGAGGCGATCGTTATTACCCTTCAGGGAGAACGGGATGCCGTTGGCATCCTTCTCGCTGAAGTCCTTGAACTGATCCTCACGGTAATCTGCTTCCTCCAAGTTTTCTGCCTGGATGCGGGTTCCCATGCCTCCATCCAGGAAGCAGATGCACTTCTTCAACTCACCATTGAAGTAGTTGATCACCTCCGTGGGTGTTGGGGTCTTGCACTCGATCTTCTGGGCAACCTTCTGGGTCTCTTGAGGGCTTTCGACACGGCAGGGGTCCACGACTTTGCAGCCGGCTTTCGGCTGAACATGCTCAGCTTCACACGTGACTGTCTCCTTAAGGCTAGAAAAAATCTGAGGAAAGTGCTCTGCCGCTGCCGCAGATTTCTCGATCTTCAATACAGGCCCAGCAGGAGCGGGAGCTGGAGGCTTCCTCACCTGCTCCGCATACTCCAGGAAGAGCTCGACATGATTGCCGTCCGCCGACTTGTTCAGAATCACTTCTTCGCGGGTCTTGGGTTCAATGTCTTCGTACCTGGGAAGACCATCTGGGTTCGCGATGGACATGTTCAGGCCATTTCAGGCCCTTGGGCACTGCGTGGAAGAGGAACACGCTGTGCATGGCATCCCGGAGGGAGTTCAAGCCGCGGAAAGAGAAAGACAGGTTGCTCAAGCCACCGGAGAAGGAGACGCATGGGCAGGTGCGCTTGTTCTCCGCCAGGGCATTAATGAAGCCGACGGCGGTACGAGTTGTGTTCCGGCAGCCCAGTGGCAATGGTCAGCACGTTGCAATCGAAGATGATATCCTCTCGGGGGAAGTCGATGTTCTCACGCAGGCACTTGTAGCTGCGCTGGCAGATGCGAACCTTGTCCTCGAAGGTGGCTGCCTGACCCTTCTCATCGAAGGCCGTGATGACGACGGCTGCGCCATAGCGCATGCAAAGCTTCGCTTGACGAAGAAACTCTTCCTCGCAGACCTTCAGTGAGATCGAATTCACGACGCACTTGCCCTGAACGCATTGGAGGCTCTCCTCGACCACAGGCCACATGGAGGAGCCGAGCCCATCAGGTTGCATCGCTCGCCGACCCACTGGAAGCCTGCCTCAGCGGTCACGTGGCAGGGCTCCAGGCCGGACAACATCATGCTGGGGTACTTGGGCAGCTATGGAAGCTTGCGCACTGGGCAGTCCTTCACCAACTTGCAGAACAGCCGCGATCTGGGAAGGGAAGGTGCCGCAGCGGCCACCGACGAAGTTCAGGATGAGATCCTTGGCGTAGTCCAGGATGTTGCTAAAGAAGATCTCGGGGTCTTCGTCATAGCCGCCCATGGCATTAGGCAGGCCAGCACGGGGGCAGACGTGGCACCAGGCTGAGTTCATGTCGCAGAGCTTCTTGTAGGAGCCCTTCATCTGAGCCGCGCCCAGGGCACAGTTAATGCCAACGGTGAAGGGCTGCGCATGCTTCACACTAACGTAGACGGCCTCGATGGTCTGGCCAGAGAGCGTGCGGCCGCTGTTGTCCACGATCAGCTAAGCATCACTCGCAGCCGCTCCTTCTTCGACTCGATGAAGTACTGGTCCACTGCCAAGATGGCCGCCTCGCAGTTCTGGGTGTCGAAGACCGTCTCAATCATCAGCAGGTCGACGCCACCGTCCACGAGACGAGACTCCTCACCTGCTGCTTGTAGGACTCCACAAGCTCGTCCCAAATCACACTGCGGAAGGATGGATCCTCCACACTGGGCGACTCGCTCAGGGTGCGGCCGGTGGGCCCAACTGCACCTGCCACGAATCGGGGCTTGTGCCGCTCCTCCTTCGTCACCTCAGCTGCTGCCTTCTTCGCAAGCTGTGCTCCCACTTTGTTCATCTCATGGACAACGGCCTGCATCTTGTACTCGCCCTGCGAGATGGTCGTGCCGTTGAAGGTGTTGGTCTCGCAGATGTCTGAGCCAGCCAGGAAGTACTCCTTGTGGATGTCCTTGATCATGTCTGGCTTGCTGAAAATGAGGCGATCGTTATTACCCTTCAGGGAGAACGGGATGCCGTTGGCATCCTTCTCGCTGAAGTCCTTGAACTGATCCTCACGGTAATCTGCTTCCTCCAAGTTTTCTGCCTGGATGCGGGTTCCCATGCCTCCATCCAGGAAGCAGATGCACTTCTTCAACTCACCATTGAAGTAGTTGATCACCTCCGTGGGTGTTGGGGTCTTGCACTCGATCTTCTCGGCAACCTTCTGGGTCTCTTGAGGACTTTCGACACGGCAGGGGTCCACGACTTTGCAGCCGGCTTTCGGCTGAACATGCTCAGCTTCACACGTGACTGTCTCCTTAAGGCTAGAAAAAATCTGAGGAAAGTGCTCTGCCGCTGCCGCAGATTTCTCGATCTTCAATACAGGCCCAGCAGGAGCGGGAGCCGGAGGCTTCCTCACCTGCTCCGCATACTCCAGGAAGAGCTCGACATGATTGCCGTCCGCCGACTTGTTCAGAATCACTTCTTCGCGGGTCTTGGGCTCAATGTCTTCGTACCTGGGAAGAACACCTGGGTTCACGATGGACATGTTCAGGCCATTTCAGGCCCTTGGGCACTGCGTGGAAGAGGAACACGCTGTGCATGGCATCGCGGAGGGAGTTCAAGCCGCGGAAAGAGAAAGACAGGTTGCTCAAGCCACCGGAGAAGGAGACGCATGGGCAGGTGCGCTTGTTCTCCGCCAGGGCATTAATGAAGCCGACGGCGGTACGAGTTGTGTTCCGGCAGCCCAGTGGCAATGGTCAGCACGTTGCAATCGAAGATGATATCCTCTCGGGGGAAGTCGATGTTCTCACGCAGGCACTTGTAGCTGTGCTGGCAGATGCGAACCTTGTCCTCGAAGGTGGCTGCCAGACCCTTCTCATCGAAGGCCATGATGACGACGGCTGCGCCATAGCGCATGCAAAGCTTCGCTTGACGAAGAAACTCTTCCTCGACGACCTTCAGTGAGATCGAATTCACGACGCACTTGCCCTGAAAACATTTGAGGCCCTCCTCGACCACGGGCCACTTGGAGGAGTCAATCATGAAGGGTAGCTTGGCCACGGTGGGCTCGGTGATGCCGGGCCTCATGAACTTGCTGATGGCCGACTGCCCATCGATCAGGTCCGAGTCGAAGTTGAAATCGAGAATGTCCGCTTTCTTCTCGCACTGAGCAATGCAAACCTCCATGCCATGGCCTCATCCCACTTGTAGGCATCCACCAGCTTCTTGAATTTGGCCGAGCCCATCAGGTTGCATCGCTCGCCGACCCACTGGAAGCCTGCCTCAGCGGTCACGTGGCAGGGCTCCAGGCCGGACAACATCATGCTGGGATACTTGGGCAGCTCTGGAAGCTTGCGCACTGGGCAGTCCTTCACCTTCTTGCGGACAGCCGCGATCTGGGAAGGGAAGGTGCCGCAGCAGCCACCGACGAAGTTCAGGATGAGATCCTTGGCGTAGTCCAGGATGTTGCTAAAGAAGATCTCGGGGTCTTCGTCATAGCCGCCCATGGCATTAGGCAGGCCAGCACGGGGGCAGACGTGGCACCAGGCTGAGTTCATGTCGCAGAGCTTCTTGTAGGAGCCCTTCATCTGAGCCGCACCCAGGGCACAGTGGGCACAGTTAATGCCAACGGTGAAGGGCTGCGCACGCTTCACACTAACGTAGACGGCCTCGATGGTCTGGCCAGAGAGCGTGCGGCCGCTGTTGTCCACGACCGTTGCGCTAAGCATGACTCGCAGCCGCTCCTTCTTTGACTCGATGAAGTACTGGTCCACTGCCAAGATGGCCGCCTTGCAGTTCTGCGTGTCGAAGACCGTCTCAATCATCAGCAGGTCGACGCCACCCTCCACGAGATCCCCTTTTCCGCGAAAGCGAGGATTGACTCCGGCCTGCGTAGCACAGCACACGTGCAACAACGGCTGCATTGGGCTTGGGACCCGAGAAGCAAAAGCTGTGTGGCTGGCTTCACTATCCTACTATCTGCGTGCATGGAGGCAGGGAATGCCAGCAAGCACTATTCGACTACACACATTTTTGTCCGTCAAGACGTGTGTGCTGTGCTGTGGGGCTTGTCCACTCGGTGGCTTCGAAAAGAGAGATTCCTCGAGCCAGCGGGGCTGGTATCGAAAGACCAGATCTGGTTGAAAACGCTGGGACCCTTCCGAGCCTGTCCATGCTGCCGATCTCGGCCACTTGCTCGAGCAAGGCCTGGTTGCCGCACACATCTTCAGACAAGGACCTTCAAGAAACGAAGCGGAAAGAACCTCAGACCATCAAAACCTGGAACCCTCAAATCTGCCCAGAAGGATAACATACCCATGCCGGGCCTTTCAAAGGCCTGCAGATGCCTGCAGCAAAGGGCCGGCTCCCCTGGACATCGGACTTCCGTGAGAGCTTGGGGAATTTCTGAACTCGGACTGCAACTCTCTACGTTTTTCCAAAGCACGGAGCCTCACATGCACACGTGACCAGGTATCCCAATGTCCTACTTATGAGTTTCAAGAAGCGCTTGGAATCATGATACGACGCCGAACCTCGGGGCAGCTTCGGCCGTTGCCGGGACCTGAGTTTCCGGGGTCTGGGTTTCAGGTTGGAGGCTTTGGATGGTCTGAGGTGCAGGGCGTTGGTCATCGTCGAACGCTTGCTCAAGGTTATCTCAAACAAAACTCGTTGCGTTTGATTGCAGCATGGTCATGGCAGACTGAGAACTCCCGGAAGCCGAAAGAGCGGCATGGTAAGATGTCTGAAGGGTCGGGGGCGTGATGCTTAGGAATAGACTGTTTCGAAAGCTCGAGCTCGCTGAACTGGGGCTCTGGCAAGGTCTGGCCCTTCAGCTCCCGGCCAGCTAAAGGGCGACGCCGCAGACTGAGCAGAGCGGTAAGGTTGTGGGGGTGATACGGGCCAATCATGCAAGTCCCAACACAGAGAGCGCTTGAAACCATGTTTTCTCACGACGCGATGCGTGATATTGCGTGATCCTGCTGTGTAGTGATGCTCCGGCTTCGATGCCGCAGGTACTTACGGCTCCAAGTTGTTCATCTTCAGTTTTGTGCAATACCCGGTCCGCACCAAGCATGAAGCTGACAACCTGAGATTGTCACAGTGTCCTCAAGAGGATCCCCCCACGACCCATGGGACGTTGAACTCAGGATTTTGTATCCCGGGATCACGTCCGCAACAAAATGCTGAGGATCAATATGTTTTATCATGGCACACCCCTACACCTGTAAATGCAGAATAGTGACAGAATGCTCGGCAAGAAAATACAATGATAGATTTGATGGCGCGAATGCCCAGTGCTGTGATTTTTCACAGCTAGTGCGTCCTATACACTCGTTTCGCCCATCCACATTGCTACGAGTATCAAAAGAGGCTTATGGCGCAATTATGTCCAGCGGTTTTGAGCAAGACGCACCCTTTGGAAGCGCTTCTGCCAGTGCTGCATGCGCTTGTGCCCTGAACCCATGGAGCAATCCGTCCAAGTAGCCCCTTGTTAAACTAACTGTTACCTGTGAGAATCAGAAGCATGGAACGCAGTTGACTCCCGAATTCAAACATGCGAATGTACACGTACTGCGGACTGCCCAGGAAATCCCCAACATTCCCCATGCCCCACATCCCCCACCTCAGTCATGGCGGCGGCTCCGCGCCATGCGGAGCTGCTGCACGATGACATCCGCCTGCCAAGATCAAACGAAAAACGAGAGTAACGCCAAAACCCTTCAAACCGCGGGACGCTGTCGCTGCCTGCCGAGGCCGCAGCAGGGATTGCTGCAGAACCACCTGTCCCCGCAGTTGCCCGAAACGCCTCAACCTCTGCTACACTCCGAGTTGCCTCCAGATGTCCTCGCAACGGGTCTGGTGGCTGAGGCGATGCTCCCCGTGTAGTGGGTGATGGTGGAGCCATCGGTGGCGGACCAGCTGGCGGGAGTGCGGAGTGTTGTGGTGTCGGGGGTGGGCGTGTGGGTAGCAGGGCGGAGGGTGGGCGTGTGGGTAGCAGGGGTGCTCGCGGCTTGGGAGGGACGAGCTTCTCCCAAGTGCCGGAGATGGCGGAAGCGGAAAACCCACGCTCCCGCCATGCCTCCTTGGCACTATCCACCGGCTTGAGGCTCAAGCGGCCACCACCATGTCGGGAAACCCGATCGCCCAACCCCGCCATGGTGTCCACCGCCAGGCCCAGCTTGTGGGCGCTACAGGCCAAGTGGATGTGCACGTCGTGTGGGGCCTCAGTCCACACGACCGTGCTTTGGATCTGCCCTGTGGTGGCATCCACCGTAAGGGTGATCTTTGACCCCGGTATGCTCCCACCCACCACATCCTTCACGTAGTCGTCGTTAAGGTCTGGCGCAGTGTTTCAAAGCTCCGTTTCTGCTTTCTCCGTGCCTATGTCTCCTTTTCTCTCTCTCTCACTCTCTCCCTCTCTCTCTCTCGCTCTCTCTCCCTCTCTCTGTCTCTCCCTCTCTCCCTCTCTGTCTGTCTCTCTCTCTCTCTCTCTCTCTCTCTCTCTCTCTCCTTTCCCTGTTGAATGCACCTCAAGTCACTCAAATCGTTGCACCCACTGGCCCTGCTAATTACATTGGATGCGCATACTATGCGCTTGTTGGTAGGTGGATTCAGATCGTTCAGTGAACCTGATGACGCAAGCTGCGGACTCAGATCACTCAAACTGGTTCCCGCGGCCCCGTTCCATGGGACGACTGGGCTCTTTCAGTTTTCCCGATGACGCGGCTGCGTCCTCGGGCCAGTCAAAACTTTCCATAGGCCATACTTGAAATGCATGCAAATGGTTTCAGATGCTTGCTGACGGAGCGAGCCAGATGACACAGCGTCCGTAGGTCATTCAAATCGTTTGGCCACAGCGGGACCAGTTTGATAGTAGTTTATGGGCCTGATGACACATGATGCGTCCCCAAGTTCGTCAAAACCCTTCCGTGGGCTCCGCCGCATGAGACGAGCTCAGCGGTAAATAGCTTCAGATTGTTGTTGATGGGCTTTGACGAGCGAGCCTGATGACGCAAGCTGCGTCCTTACGGCTGCTCTGCATGGGGGGAGCTTGATTTCGCTGGCTCATGATGATGCGGGCTGCATCCTCAGGTCCAGGAACTGAGACATCGTCACGGTGAATCATTGCAGGTTTTGTCAGGCTGCATCTATCCATGTTCTCTCTCTGTCTCTCTCCCTCTCCCTACCCTGTTGAATGACAGGCGGATCCGGCTCGCTGTTCAGCTCCCAGTAGCATTTGCGAGCCCACATTCGAGTCGTGGACAGCTCAGCTTCTCCTAGCAACTCCTTGAAGTTGGCATCTGTGGATGAATTGGCCCACGTTCTAACCGTGGACTGCCTACCACCTTGCTGGCACCTGCAAGCCTTCTCTCCTCCGCGATACGCCAGGCTTTGCGCAGTCTTTTAAATCTCATATATGGATCTGTGCTTTGCAACCAGTCGTTTTCTGAAATGGACGTACTTCCTTTCAAGAAAGACCGCTGAAACGACAAGCACATCCAATTTCATTGAAGCTTTGTGCAGCCGGATTGACGGAAGATGTTTCTAGCTCTTGCTCCACATGTGTGCGTCGCATCCCATGTTCCTTGTTCGATATTGGTTTCTGCCTTTCGCTCTCTTGTGGATTCTCTATTGAGCTGGTTTCTCCTCTCCATCTCTCTCTCTCTCTCTCTGGTATTCTTTTCTTCTCTCCCTCTCTCTCTCTCTCTCTCTCTCTCTCTCTCTTGTCTCTCTTCTCTCTCTTCTCTGTGTCTCTCTGTGTCTCTCTGTGTCTCTCTGTGTCTCTCTGTGTCTCTCTGTGTCTCTCTGTGTCTCTCTGTGTCTCTGTCTCTGTCTCTGTCTCTGCCTCTGCCTCTGCCTCTGCCTCTGCCTCTGCCTCTGCCTCTGCCTCTGTCTCTGTCTCTGTCTCTCTCTCTCTCTCTCTCTCCCTCTCTGTCAGCCTGAGCTGGAGGTGGGGCCAAGCAGACCTGCGGCTGTCATGTCCTGGACGGCCCTGGCCTCAGAGGGCTAGGCAAGGACAGGGTGGAGAGACAGGCAATCAAATTGACCTCAAAATCGAAACTTAGTAGATAAAGATCAACTAAAACCAATAGAAACAGAATGCACAGGAAATCAAATATGAACAAACGGACAGACTAACTCGAGAGCAATTAACAGCTGACGACAAATGAAAAAGGACAGACCGTGCACAACAAAGACACGAACAAAGACAGCCTGATGAGACCAGCAGCAACAAATGACCGATAAACATATGTCCGAATAGCATTTCAGCGAAAAAACTAAAACACACAAACAACCAAATAGAGATGGAGAAACACACAAACTGCAGTTCCGCCAAGTCTCACCCAGGAGGTTGAGGAATTTCGTTGCTCGACCCGACGACATGTTCCTGCCACGACGTCAAGCCGCCAAGGAAATCTTCGAATCCCAATACCAGCGCATGTCCCCATATCCCCGTCCTTGACGCGTCCTGCCCTGTGTTGGAATCGGCCAAGCGTGGATGCAATCTGCAAGTTGGAGCCCACTGGTTGCAGCAACAATCACATCAGGTGCTCTGTTGTTTCAAACATGCAGTGCCCTCGACATGGGGCTTTGAACAATGCCGTAACCAAGTCGAAAGATGCTCTGTGCCCGGAGGACATGTCACCATGATCGACATCACCAACATTCACACCGGCTTTAGTTTCAAGCACTCCAGCCACATCGCCATCACCCACAACCCATGGTGGCACCCGGTGATCAGACGAGCGCAGCTACCCACATGGCCCACGGTACGATGACATATTTCGTCACGTATCTTTTTGTGAAAGCGAGGCGATACTGAGGGAACCATCTCACCCAAATCCTCACCCAAGTGCTACGGGGCAGAGAGAGAGAGAGCTCGGCAACGAAACACAAAACACAGTGTGGCGGCTTGAATTGCCTGACAAGGTTCGACACATTGCGGCTACAAACTACAAGTACCGACTCTTCCTTGAGTGTTGCTTTGCTAATCCGCTGTGAGCAACTTCGCACTTCGGAAGGGTTTCGGGTTTGGGTTGAGATGCTGCAGCCTGCCGATTTCACTTCTCACCAGGACAACGAAGTACTGGGCCCTCCCTTCAACCAGTATGCCACGAAATAACTAGCCAAAGTATATCGTTCTTTCTGGCATCGTCGAATGTGCGTGTTGTTCTGTTGAGAGGGCTAGGCTAGAAGATGCGACAGCCTCTCATTTGCACCATAGCTTTCGACAGATATGTCAGGAGCAAGGTGGATTCCAGGTGCTGGGAGCTCGAGACCAAAACCCTCTCACCCTCTTTTTAAGGCAGGCGAAGCCAAAATGAGGGTGGACAGCGCAGTCTTTGCTGCACAGCTTGTGGAGGAGCACGAGAACCATCGCCTTCCTGACGGCAACAACTCAACAACCGTGTCATGCCAGCACGTTGAGCACACGCGGCAAGAGCAGCGGGCATGGGGAGCCCTGGAACTCCTGCCCAGCATGGGATGCTCTGCACGCAGTGCATCAGAAATGTCTAAGCTAGATCAAAGTTATCGTGTGAGCGTCAGCAAAAGAGTGTGCCAGATTTTCTGGACATCCTAGGGTCCAGCACAATAGCGAAAACTTACAGTCTCGTTTTCGCTTCTCGTAGCCCAACACGGTGCTCCCAAGCCACCGCTCTGTCCCCTGAAAACACTTGATTTAAGTGAAACTGCACGGCCACGGATCCAGGCACACGTGGACCTCAAGCCTAAAATGACAGGGTGTTTGCATCATACGATTACGGCTTCAGAGCTCGAGAGTGCAGCACAGGGTATGAAAGCACGGAAAACAAGCTCTGGAAAGCAACATCGTTTGTCGTCTAGTCAGATGAATGCATTGGAAGGGATGTGTCTCTAGCATCGCCGTTTCTCAAAAGTTGGCGAATTGCCCGCACACTATTTGTTTGCATACCCAATCTGCAGCAGCATAAAGGAGTGATCCAACAAAGGTAAGAAACTCCTCGCACCTCCACGCCGGCCTCGCCGCGGCGCTCCGAATAGGACCTCGGAACAGACCGTATGTGCCCGTGCCCGCTGTCTCGTTCTTTGTGCAGGGTGGGTTAGCTGCTGAGGTCCAGGCTGCACCTGGTCAACGCTGACCTGGCCAACCGAGAAGTACTTGGCCTGGCGACGCTCGTTGTGGCTGAGCATTGTGGCTGAGGGCTGTGGCGTGTGCGCTTTACAATACTTACTAGCCTCCGGATGCACGAAGACAAGGGCCGACACAGATGAATTGGCCTGTCAACGAGATGCGGCTGGGACTGGGGACTATGCGCCGTGCTGTCTAAGGGCCGGACATCATCACGTAGGACTCGGTCAGGGACAGCTTCTCATCCGTCAGCTTTAAACTGGCTGCCTTTCGGCGCCATTTGCTGGGGACCATTCCCACTGCAAGCTGCTGAACCCGCCCTCCCAACGTGCAGCAAGGGTTGGTCAGAGAGGTTTTACGTATCGGTGCAAACAAGCTGCTCTCGAAGAAGTGCGCTCTTGTAGAGGCCGAAGTAATTTCTGGCAGACCTCGATTGCTGCGTGCATCTGCAGCGGTGGGACGCAGCGTTTGTCAACTGCAGGCTTTGCTGGGACTCCCAGCATCGGCACTCCGGCTCAAGCCCGGACCCCAGTGGAAAATCAGCACCGGCACCTCGTCGACAGGATGCCCCCCTGTAGCTTAGCACCGGAGGGAGTTGAGAGCAATGACCAAGGGTGAGTCTGCATGCTTGGGATTGCTTCTTTGCGGCTGCCAAGCGACGCTCGGCGGAAGCGATCCCGCGATCCCGACGGGATTCGGACAAGCTTGAGCGACCGATGCTTCCCCAGCTGTGGCTTCTTGGACTGCGCCTGAAACCGCGGGCAACATGCTTGCTCTCGTCCGAGGGTCAAGTCTTGTCAGCGGGCCTCCTTCAGCGACTTCCACTTCTTGTCGATCAAAGTCGCGTAGTATTCAACCCTGATTTCCGCATATTCCTGGGGCTGCCACGACTCGCAACCCGCGATCTCTCCCAGCAGTGCCCCCGCTGCAACCGTGCTCCTCCTTGTACGTTTGTTTGTCCACGGACCTGGTCAGCCAGAGCAGCAAGTTGGCGAACACAACGGTAAGGCAGACCTTGACTCGAGTCTGTGCACCTTAGCCTTTTGCGACAGGCTGTACTATCTGTCAGTGGTCTCTGGAAGTCGTTGGTGTTGCACAGCCATTTGCTGTGTGGTGTGCAGCTCGTTGCATGAGTTGAAGCTCGCGGCCGACAGGGTTCACGTCTGCGATCCACGGTTTGAGGATCCAGCAAAGAAACGGCCTCTGACTTTCCAATTCATGTCCCCCTGCCGTTTGTGACGCTGACATGCCCTGGACATACCTGTGGTACAGCTCAGGCTGTTTGCACTCTGAACAGCTGCGAAGATGAGAAGCCAGCATCAGTGCACTCACGACGGTGCAGCTTCTGCTCGCATCCAGGACCTGTGCGACGCGCATGCCACGCTACTGGTGGACGGCTGCCGGCTGTGACCCGAGGTATCAACGTGAATCACGCCGTTGTTGTACTTGGCAGTGATCTTCACCGCCTTGTTGCCGTTGATGGTGCTGGGTTCCAAGTTGTCTTCTAAGATCTACTCATGGAGCGCCCCACCGTGTGCCGATTCGTTGTGGTGGCGCCACCGATCATCAACGGCGCCTGGCACCCGAGGAAAAGCAGCACATCCCCCCCATTCATCCCCATTCTCAGCAAGACACACGCAGTGGGTCGCCTTCATGCCACGCGCCTTCATCTGCTCCTGAGATTCGCATGAGGTAGCAAATCGCAAATCCGGACAACTAAGCAGTCCAGGCACGGACAGCGACGTAAACCATCTCGTCCAAGGAGGGTGTGATTAGCCTCGGCGCGAAGCCTGATTTCTCGAATCACCAGAAGTCAAGCCCGAGAGGCAGGCCCGGAAAGTCCAATGACATCCACTTTCTCCTGCGATTTTGCTGCGCACGCATCTGTGCTACGAGATCTACTCGGTGCTCGCATCTCCCTGGCTCATGTGCGTCCTCGACAGCCTTCTCCAGGATGTTTCCCCAGGGCACCATTACACCCATGTCGATCACCCAGGTTCACCAACCAAGAGCCAGGCCTCACCTGGCCTCAGCACGCACAGCCTGTCAGCATGTGTCGTCCCATCGACCACTGACGGCCAGAAAGTTTTGCAGACTCGATGTCAATCTCTGGCCACTTGGCCTTCTTCATGACCCGCGCGCTCCTGATGACCTGCAAGGTGCAGAGACTCGCGATGTTGAGAGTGAAGCAAAGCCACAGGCCTGCCTGCCGGCTGGGCCGGCTGAAAAGGTGAAAAAAAGCTCCTGGAACTTCCAGTCGCGGTTTTCTTGCCCTGCTGAGCGGATCTCTCGCGCATGAGGGCGAGCCTTCCATCAGCGGCCCCTCGATGACACGCAGCGGGACTTGCAGTTCGGCCCGGGCCTGTCGCCGTCATGTCAATGTGCCAGGCACAAGCCTGCAGATATAAAAGCGGACCTCCTCGGTATCCCCCTCAATGAACTTGTCGATACCGTTGATCAGCCTCTCCGGCACAATGCCACACGAGTCATGCTTGTGGGGGACGGGGACGTAGCATCTTGGCCAAGGCCGCTGCCCGCAGTGCAGACGCTCTGTGAATGTGCCATTTCGCCCATTTCGCCAGGCATCCTTTGCTTCTGGCTGGCTGCGAGGCGACTTGAGACTTGTGAAGCCTGCCTTGGCGGGAGCACCACCTGCAGCAGCGCCCGCAGTCGGGGCAGGCTTGCGGACAGCCTCTGGTGCGAAATTGCGTTCCGTCTTGTGAGATATCTTGGGACCTTTTATACCCTTTGAGACAGACAGCACGGAGTCGGCCTCTGCGTGCTCCAGGAAGCGCTCGACCTGCAGGCACAAGGACCAAGACAGCAAGACAGCACGTTCTGATCCGCAAATACCGCAGCTGGGCAGGCTGGTGTCTAGGCTTCCTGCGTGCGTGCCATCTGCAGGCTGGTTCAGGATCACCTGCGAGAAACAAATGATCGAGCCAGCTGAGATCAGCACAAGGAGCCGCGCGCCTCTTCCGCCAGCTTGCGAGTGTTCTCCTCCATGTCCGTTTGCGGGAGAGGCCCCTCCAGGCTCCGCTCCGTACTTTGCCCCGGCCTCCAGGGTTCACGATGGACATGTTCAGGCCATTTCGCCCTTGGGCACTGCGTGGAAGAGGAACACGCTGTGCATGGCATCCCGGAGGGAGTTCAAGCCGCGGAAAGAGAAAGACAGGTTGCTCAAGCCACCGGAGAAGGAGACGCATGGGCAGGTGCGCTTGTTCTCCGCCAGGGCATTAATGAAGCCGACGGCGGTACGAGTTGTGTTCCGGCAGCCCAGTGGCAATGGTCAGCACGTTGCAATCGAAGATGATATCCTCTCGGGGGAAGTCGATGTTCTCACGCAGGCACTTGTAGCTGCGCTGGCAGATGCGAACCTTGTCCTCGAAGGTGGCTGCCTGACCCTTCTCATCGAAGGCCGTGATGACGACGGCTGCGCCATAGCGCATGCAAAGCATCGCTTGACGAAGAAACTCTTCCTCGCAGACCTTCAGTGAGATCGAATTCACGACGCACTTGCCCTGAACGCATTGGAGGCCCTCCTCGGCTTGGCCTCATGAACTTGCTGATGGCCGACTACCCATCGATCAGGTCCGAGTCGAAGTTGAAATCGAGAATGTCCGCTTTCTTCTCGCACTGGCCGACGCAAACCTCCATGCCATGGCCTCATCCCACTTGTAGGCATCCACCAGCTTCTTGAATTTGGCCGAGCCCATCAGGTTGCATCGCTCGCCGACCCACTGGAAGCCTGCCTCAGCGGTCACGTGGCAGGGCTCCAGGCCGGACAACATCACGCTGGGGTACTTGGGCAGCTCTGGAAGCTTGCGCACTGGGCAGTCCTTCACCAACTTGCAGAACAGCCGCGATCTGGGAAGGGAAGGTGCCGCAGCAGCCACCGACGAAGTTCAGGATGAGATCCTTGGCTAGTCCAGGATGTTGCTAAAGAAGATCTCGGGGTCTTCGTCATAGCCGCCCGTGGCATTAGGCAGGCCAGCACTGGGGCAGACATGGCACCAGGCTGAGTTCATGTCGCAGAGCTTCTTGTAGGAGCCCTTCATCTGAGCCGCACCCAGGGCACAGTTAATGCCAACGGTGAAGGGCTGCGCATGCTTCACACTAACGTAGACGGCCTCGATGGTCTGGCCAGAGAGCGTGCGGCCGCTGTTGTCCACGATCAGCTAAGCATCACTCGCAGCCGCTCCTTCTTCGACTCGATGAAGTACTGGTCCACTGCCAAGATGGCCGCCTCGCAGTTCTGGGTGTCGAAGACCGTCTCAATCATCAGCAGGTCGACGCCACCGTCCACGAGACGAGACTCCTCACCTGCTGCTTGTAGGGCTCCACAAGCTCGTCCCAAATCACACTGCGGAAGGATGGATCCTCCACACTGGGCGACTCGCTCAGGGTGCGGCCGGTGGGCCCAACTGCACCTGCCACGAATCGGGGCTTGTGCCGCTCCTCCTTCGTCACCTCAGCTGCTGCCTTCTTCGCAAGCTGTGCTCCCACTTTGTTCATCTCATGGACAACGGCCTGCATCTTGTACTCGCCCTGCGAGATGGTCGTGCCGTTGAATGTGTTGGTCTCGCAGATGTCTGAGCCAGCCAGGAAGTACTCCTTGTGGATGTCCTTGATCATGTCTGGCTTGCTGAAAATGAGGAGATCGTTATTAGGGAGAACGGGATGTCGTTGGCATCCTTCTCGCTGAAGTCCTTGAACTGATCCTCACGGTAATCTGCTTCCTCCAAGTTTTCTGCCTGGATGCGGGTTCCCATGCCTCCATCCAGGAAGCAGATGCACTTCTTCAACTCACCATTGAAGTACTTGATCACCTCCGTGGGTGTTGGGGTCTTGCACTCGATCTTCTGGGCAACCTTCTGGGTCTCTTGAGGACTTTCGACACGGCAGGGGTCCACGACTTTGCAGCCGGCTTTCGGCTGAACATGCTCAGCTTCACACGTGACTGTCTCCTTAAGGCTAGAAAAAATCTGAGGAAAGTGCTCTGCCGCTGCCGCAGATTTCTCGATCTTCAATACAGGCCCAGCAGGAGCGGGAGCTGGAGGCTTCCTCACCTGCTCCGCATACTCCAGGAAGAGCTCGACATGATTGCCGTCCGCCGACTTGTTCAGAATCACTTCTTCGCGGGTCTTGGGCTCAATGTCTTCGTACCTGGGAAGACCACCTGGGTTCACGATGGACATGTTCAGGCCATTTCAGGCCCTTGGGCACTGCGTGGAAGAGGAACACGCTGTGCATGGCATCCCGGAGGGAGTTCAAGCCGGGGAAAGAGAAAGACAGGTTGCTCAAGCCACCGGAGAAGGAGACGCATGGGCAGGTGCGCTTGTTCTCCGCCAGGCATTAATGAAGCCGACGGCGGTACGAGTTGTGTTCCGGCAGCCCAGTGGCAATGGTCAGCACGTTGCAATCGAAGATGATATCCTCTCGGGGGAAGTCGATGTTCTCACGCAGGCACTTGTAGCTGCGCTGGCAGATGCGAACCTTGAACTCGAAGGTGGCTGCCTGACCCTTCTCATCGAAGGCCGTGATGACGACGGCTGCGCCATAGCGCATGCAAAGCTTCGCTTGACGAAGAAACTCTTCCTCGCAGACCTTCAGTGAGATCGAATTCACGACGCACTTGCCCTGAACGCATTGGAGGCTCTCCTCGACCACAGGCCACTTGGAGGAGTCAATCATGAAGGGTAGCTTGGCCTCATGAACTTGCTGATGGCCGACTGCCCATCGATCAGGTCCGAGTCGAAGTTGAAATCGGGAATGTCCGCTTTCTTCTCGCACTGAGCAATGCAAACCTCCATGCCATGGCCTCATCCCACTTGTAGGCATCCACCAGCTTCTTGAATTTGGCCGAGCCCATCAGGTTGCATCGCTCGCCGACCCACTGGAAGCCTGCCTCAGCGGTCACGTGGCAGGGCTCCAGGCCGGACAACATCATGCTGGGGTACTTGGGCAGCTATGGAAGCTTGCGCACTGGGCAGTCCTTCACCAACTTGCAGAACAGCCGCGATCTGGGAAGGGAAGGTGCCGCAGGATGAGATCCTTGGCGTAGTCCAGGATGTTGCTAAAGAAGATCTCGGGGTCTTCGTCATAGCCGCCCATGGCATTAGGCAGGCCAGCACTGGGGCAGACGTGGCACCAGGCTGAGTTCATGTCGCAGAGCTTCTTGTAGGAGCCCTTCATCTGAGCCGCACCCAGGGCACAGTTAATGCCAACGGTGAAGGGCTGCGCATGCTTCACACTAACGTAGACGGCCTCGATGGTCTGGCCAGAGAGCGTGCGGCCGCTGTTGTCCACGATCAGCTAAGCATCACTCGCAGCCGCTCCTTCTTCGACTCGATGAAGTACTGGTCCACTGCCAAGATGGCCGCCTCGCAGTTCTGGGTGTCGAAGACCGTCTCAATCATCAGCAGGTCGACGCCACCGTCCACGAGACGAGACTCCTCACCTGCTGCTTGTAGGACTCCACAAGCTCGTCCCAAATCACACTGCGGAAGGATGGATCCTCCACACTGGGCGACTCGCTCAGGGTGCGGCCGGTGGGCCCAACTGCACCTGCCACGAATCGGGGCTTGTGCCGCTCCTCCTTCGTCACCTCACCTGCTGCCTTCTTCGCAAGCTGTGCTCCCACTTTGTTCATCTCATGGACAACGGCCTGCATCTTGTACTCGCCCTCCGAGATGGTCGTGCCGTTGAAGGTGTTGGTCTCGCAGATGTCTGAGCCAGCCAGGAAGTACTCCTTGTGGATGTCCTTGATCATGTCTGGCTTGCTGAAAATGAGGAGATCGTTATTAGGGAGAACGGGATGTCGTTGGCATCCTTCTCGCTGAAGTCCTTGAACTGATCCTCACGGTAATCTGCTTCCTCCAAGTTTTCTGCCTGGATGCGGGTTCCCATGCCTCCATCCAGGAAGCAGATGCACTTCTTCAACTCACCATTGAAGTAGTTGATCACCTCCGTGGGTGTTGGGGTCTTGCACTCGATCTTCTCGGCAACCTTCTGGGTCTCTTGAGGACTTTCGACACGGCAGGGGTCCACGACTTTGCAGCCGGCTTTCGGCTGAACATGCTCAGCTTCACACGTGACTGTCTCCTTAAGGCTAGAAAAAATCTGAGGAAAGTGCTCTGCCGCTGCCGCAGATTTCTCGATCTTCAATACAGGCCCAGCAGGAGCGGGAGCCGGAGGCTTCCTCACCTGCTCCGCATACTCCAGGAAGAGCTCGACATGATTGCCGTCCGCCGACTTGTTCAGAATCACTTCTTCGCGGGTCTTGGGCTCAATGGCTTCGTACCTGGGAAGACCACCTGGGTTCACGATGGACATGTTCAGGCCATTTCAGGCCCTTGGGCACTGCGTGGAAGAGGAACACGCTGTGCATGGCATCCCGGAGGGAGTTCAAGCCGCGGAAAGAGAAAGACAGGTTGCTCAAGCCACCGGAGAAGGAGACGCATGGGCAGGTGCGCTTGTTCTCCGCCAGGGCATTAATGAAGCCGACGGCGGTACGAGTTGTGTTCCGGCAGCCCAGTGGCAATGGTCAGCACGTTGCAATCGAAGATGATATCCTCTCGGGGGAAGTCGATGTTCTCACGCAGGCACTTGTAGCTGTGCTGGCAGATGCGAACCTTGTCCTCGAAGGTGGCTGCCAGACCCTTCTCATCGAAGGCCATGATGACGACGGCTGCGCCATAGCGCATGCAAAGCTTCGCTTGACGAAGAAATTCTTCCTCGACGACCTTCAGTGAGATCGAATTCACGACGCACTTGCCCTGAAGGCATTTGAGGCCCTCCTCGACCACAGGCCACTTGGAGGAGTCAATCATGAAGGGTAGCTTGGCCACGGTGGGCTCGGTGATGCCGGGCCTCATGAACTTGCTGATGGCCGACTGCCCATCGATCAGGTCCGAGTCGAAGTTGAAATCGAGAATGTCCGCTTTCTTCTCGCACTGAGCAATGCAAACCTCCATGCCATGGCCTCATCCCACTTGTAGGCATCCACCAGCTTCTTGAATTTGGCCGAGCCCATCAGGTTGCATCGCTCGCCGACCCACTGGAAGCCTGCCTCAGCGGTCACGTGGCAGGGCTCCAGGCCGGACAACATCATGCTGGGATACTTGGGCAGCTCTGGAAGCTTGCGCACTGGGCAGTCCTTCACCTTCTTGCGGACAGCCGCGATCTGGGAAGGGAAGGTGCCGCAGCGGCCACCGACGAAGTTCAGGATGAGATCCTTGGCGTAGTCCAGGATGTTGCTAAAGAAGATCTCGGGGTCTTCGTCATAGCCGCCCATGGCATTAGGCAGGCCAGCACGGGGGCAGACGTGGCACCAGGCTGAGTTCATGTCGCAGAGCTTCTTGTAGGAGCCCTTCATCTGAGCCGCACCCAGGGCACAGTGGGCACAGTTAATGCCAACGGTGAAGGGCTGCGCACGCTTCACACTAACGTAGACGGCCTCGATGGTCTGGCCAGAGAGCGTGCGGCCGCTGTTGTCCACGACCGTTGCGCCAAGCATGACTCGCAGCCGCTCCTTCTTTGACTCGATGAAGTACTGGTCCACTGCCAAGATGGCCGCCTTGCAGTTCTGCGTGTCGAAGACCGTCTCAATCATCAGCAGGTCGACGCCACCCTCCACGAGATCCCCTTTTCCGCGAAAGCGAGGATTGACTCCGGCCTGCGTAGCACAGCACACGTGCAACAACGGCTGCATTGGGCTTGGGACCCGAGAAGCAAAAGCTGTGTGGCTGGCTTCACTATCCTACTATCTGCGTGCATGGAGGCAGGGAATGCCAGCAAGCACTATTCGACTACACACATTTTTGTCCGTCAAGACGTGTGTGCTGTGCTGTGGGGCTTGTCCACTCGGTGGCTTCGAAAAGAGAGATTCCTCGAGCCAGCGGGGCTGGTATCGAAAGACCAGATCTGGTTGAAAACGCTGGGACCCTTCCGAGCCTGTCCATGCTGCCCATCTCGGCCACTTGCTCGAGCAAGGCCTGGTTGCCGCACACATCTTCAGACAAGGACCTTCAAGAAACGAAGCGGAAAGAACCTCAGACCATCAAAACCTGGAACCCTCAAATCTGCCCAGAAGGATAACATACCCATGCCGGGCCTTTCAAAGGCCTGCAGATGCCTGCAGCAAAGGGCCGGCTCCCCTGGACATCGGACTTCCGTGAGAGCTTGGGGATTTTCTGAACTCGGACTGCAACTCTTTACGTTTTTCCAAAGCACGGAGCCTCACATGCACACGTGACCAGGTATCCCAATGTCCTACTTATGAGTTTCAAGAAGCGCTTGGAATCATGATACGACGCCGAACCTCGGGGCAGCTTCGGCCGTTGCCGGGACCTGAGTTTCCGGGGTCTGGGTTTCAGGTTGGAGGCTTTGGATGGTCTGAGGTGCAGGGCGTTGGTCATCGTCGAACGCTTGCTCAAGGTTATCTCAAACAAAACTCGTTGCGTTTGATTGCAGCATGGTCATGGCAGACTGAGAACTCCCGGAAGCCGAAAGAGCGGCATGGTAAGATGTCTGAAGGGTCGGGGGCGTGATGCTTAGGAATAGACTGTTTCGAAAGCTCGAGCTCGCTGAACTGGGGCTCTGGCAAGGTCTGGCCCTTCAGCTCCCGGCCAGCTAAAGGGCGACGCCGCAGACTGAGCAGAGCGGTAAGGTTGTGGGGGTGATACGGGCCAATCATGCAAGTCCCAACACAGAGAGCGCTTGAAACCATGTTTTCTCACGACGCGATGCGTGATATTGCGTGATCCTGCTGTGTAGTGATGCTCCGGCTTCGATGCCGCAGGTACTTACGGCTCCAAGTTGTTCATCTTCAGTTTTGTGCAATACCCGGTCCGCACCAAGCATGAAGCTGACAACCTGAGATTGTCACAGTGTCCTCAAGAGGATCCCCCCACGACCCATGGGACGTTGAACTCAGGATTTTGTATCCCGGGATCACGTCCGCAACAAAATGCTGAGGATCAATATGTTTTATCATGGCACACCCCTACACCTGTAAATGCAGAATAGTGACAGAATGCTCGGCAAGAAAATACAATGATAGATTTGATGGCGCGAATGCCCAGTGCTGTGATTTTTCACAGCTAGTGCGTCCTATACACTCGTTTCGCCCATCCACATTGCTACGAGTATCAAAAGAGGCTTATGGCGCAATTATGTCCAGCGGTTTTGAGCAAGACGCACCCTTTGGAAGCGCTTCTGCCAGTGCTGCATGCGCTTGTGCCCTGAACCCATGGAGCAATCCGTCCAAGTAGCCCCTTGTTAAACTAACTGTTACCTGTGAGAATCAGAAGCATGGAACGCAGTTGACTCCCGAATTCAAACATGCGAATGTACACGTACTGCGGACTGCCCAGGAAATCCCCAACATTCCCCATGCCCCACATCCCCCACCTCAGTCATGGCGGCGGCTCCGCGCCATGCGGAGCTGCTGCACGATGACATCCGCCTGCCAAGATCAAACGAAAAACGAGAGTAACGCCAAAACCCTTCAAACCGCGGGACGCTGTCGCTGCCTGCCGAGGCCGCAGCAGGGATTGCTGCAGAACCACCTGTCCCCGCAGTTGCCCGAAACGCCTCAACCTCTGCTACACTCCGAGTTGCCTCCAGATGTCCTCGCAACGGGTCTGGTGGCTGAGGCGATGCTCCCCGTGTAGTGGGTGATGGTGGAGCCATCGGTGGCGGACCAGCTGGCGGGAGTGCGGAGTGTTGTGGTGTCGGGGGTGGGCGTGTGGGTAGCAGGGCGGAGGGTGGGCGTGTGGGTAGCAGGGGTGCTCGCGGCTTGGGAGGGACGAGCTTCTCCCAAGTGCCGGAGATGGCGGAAGCGGAAAACCCACGCTCCCGCCATGCCTCCTTGGCACTATCCACCGGCTTGAGGCTCAAGCGGCCACCACCATGTCGGGAAACCCGATCGCCCAACCCCGCCATGGTGTCCACCGCCAGGCCCAGCTTGTGGGCGCTACAGGCCAAGTGGATGTGCACGTCGTGTGGGGCCTCAGTCCACACGACCGTGCTTTGGATCTGCCCTGTGGTGGCATCCACCGTAAGGGTGATCTTTGACCCCGGTATGCTCCCACCCACCACATCCTTCACGTAGTCGTCGTTAAGGTCTGGCGCAGTGTTTCAAAGCTCCGTTTCTGCTTTCTCCGTGCCTATGTCTCCTTTTCTCTCTCTCTCACTCTCTCCCTCTCTCTCTCTCGCTCTCTCTCCCTCTCTCTGTCTCTCCCTCTCTCCCTCTCTGTCTGTCTGTCTCTCTCTCTCTCTCTCTCTCTCTCTCTCTCCTTTCCCTGTTGAATGCACCTCAAGTCACTCAAATCGTTGCACCCACTGGCCCTGCTAATTACATTGGATGCGCATACTATGCGCTTGTTGGTAGGTGGATTCAGATCGTTCAGTGAACCTGATGACGCAAGCTGCGGACTCAGATCACTCAAACTGGTTCCCGCGGCCCCGTTCCATGGGACGACTGGGCTCTTTCAGTTTTCCCGATGACGCGGCTGCGTCCTCGGGCCAGTCAAAACTTTCCATAGGCCATACTTGAAATGCATGCAAATTGTTGTTGATGGGCTTTGACGAGCGAGCCTGATGACGCAAGCTGCGTCCTTACGGCTGCTCTGCATGGGGGGAGCTTGATTTCGCTGGCTCATGATGATGCGGGCTGCATCCTCAGGTCCAGGAACTGAGACATCGTCACGGTGAATCATTGCAGGTTTTGTCAGGCTGCATCTATCCATGTTCTCTCTCTGTCTCTCTCCCTCTCCCTACCCTGTTGAATGACAGGCGGATCCGGCTCGCTGTTCAGCTCCCAGTAGCATTTGCGAGCCCACATTCGAGTCGTGGACAGCTCAGCTTCTCCTAGCAACTCCTTGAAGTTGGCATCTGTGGATGAATTGGCCCACGTTCTAACCGTGGACTGCCTACCACCTTGCTGGCACCTGCAAGCCTTCTCTCCTCCGCGATACGCCAGGCTTTGCGCAGTCTTTTAAATCTCATATATGGATCTTTGCTTTGCAACCAGTCGTTTTCTGAAATGGACGTACTTCCTTTCAAGAAAGACCGCTGAAACGACAAGCACATCCAATTTCATTGAAGCTTTGTGCAGCCGGATTGACGGAAGATGTTTCTAGCTCTTGCTCCACATGTGTGCGTCGCATCCCATGTTCCTTGTTCGATATTGGTTTCTGCCTTTCGCTCTCTTGTGGATTCTCTATTGAGCTGGTTTCTCCTCTCCATCTCTCTCTGTCTCTCTCTCTGGTATTCTTTTCTTCTCTCCCTCTCTCTCTCTCTCTCTCTCTCTCTCTCTCTCTCTTTTGTCTCTCTTCTCTCTCTTCTCTGTGTCTCTCTGTGTCTCTCTGTGTCTCTCTGTGTCTCTCTGTGTCTCTCTGTGTCTCTCTGTGTCTCTCTGTGTCTCTGTCTCTGTCTCTGTCCCTCTGCCTCTGCCTCTGCCTCTGCCTCTGCCTCTGCCTCTGCCTCTGTCTCTGTCTCTGTCTCTCTCTCTCTCTCTCTCTCTCTCCCTCTCTGTCAGCCTGAGCTGGAGGTGGGGCCAAGCAGACCTGCGGCTGTCATGTCCTGGACGGCCCTGGCCTCAGAGGGCTACGCAAGGACAGGGTGGAGAGACAGGCAATCAAATTGACCTCAAAACCGAAACTTAGTAGATAAAGATCAACTAAAACCAATAGAAACAGAATGCACAGGAAATCAAATATGAACAAACGGACAGACTAACTCGAGAGCAATTAACAGCTGACGACAAATGAAAAAGGACAGACCGTGCACAACAAAGACACGAACAAAGACAGCCTGATGAGACCAGCAGCAACAAATGACCGATAAACATATGTCCGAATAGCATTTCAGCGAAAAAACTAAAACACACAAACAACCAAATAGAGATGGAGAAACACACAAACTGCAGTTCCGCCAAGTCTCACCCAGGAGGTTGAGGAATTTCGTTGCTCGACCCGACGACATGTTCCTGCCACGACGTCAAGCCGCCAAGGAAATCTTCGAATCCCAATACCAGCGCATGTCCCCATATCCCCGTCCTTGACGCGTCCTGCCCTGTGTTGGAATCGGCCAAGCGTGGATGCAATCTGCAAGTTGGAGCCCACTGGTTGCAGCAACAATCACATCAGGTGCTCTGTTGTTTCAAACATGCAGTGCCCTCGACATGGGGCTTTGAACAATGCCGTAACCAAGTCGAAAGATGCTCTGTGCCCGGAGGACATGTCACCATGATCGACATCACCAACATTCACACCGGCTATAGTTTCAAGCACTCCAACCACATCGCCATCACCCACAACCCATGGTGGCACCCGGTGATCAGACGAGCGCAGCTACCCACATGGCCCACGGTACGATGACATATTTCGTCACGTATCTTTTTGTGAAAGCGAGGCGATACTGCGGGAACTATCTCACCCAAATCCTCACCCAAGTGCTACGGGGCAGAGAGAGAGAGAGAGAGCTCGGCAACGAAACACAAAACACAGTGTGGCGGCTTGACTTACCTGACAAGGTTCGACACATTGCGGCTACAAACTACAAGTACCGACTCTTCCTTGAGTGTTGCTTTGCTAATCCGCTGTGAGCAACTTCGCACTTCGGAAGGGTTTCGGGTTTGGGTTGAGATGCTGCAGCCTGCCCATTTTCACTTCTCACCAGGACAACGAAGTACTGGGCCCTCCCTTCAACCAGTATGCCACGAAATAACTAGCCAAAGTATATCGTTCTTTCTGGCATCGTCGAATGTGCGTGTTGTTCTGTTAAGAGGGCTAGGCTAGAAGATGCGACAGCCTCTCATTTGCACCATAGCTTTCGACAGATATGTCAGGAGCAAGGTGGATTCCAGGTGCTGGGAGCTCGAGACCAAAACCCTCTCACCCTCTTTTTAAGGCAGGCGAAGCCAAAATGAGGGTGGACAGCGCAGTCTTTGCTGCACAGCTTGTGGAGGAGCACGAGAACCATCGCCTTCCTGACGGCAACAACTCAACAACCGTGTCATGCCAGCACGTTGAGCACACGCGGCAAGAGCAGCGGGCATGGGGAGCCCTGGAACTCCTGCCCAGCATGGGATGCTCTGCACGCAGTGTGCGCTTTACAATACTTACTGGCCTCCGGATGCACGAAGACAAGGGCCGACACAGATGAGTTGGCCTGTCAACGAGATGCGAATGGGACTGGGGACTATGCGCCATGCCGTCTAAGGGCCGGACATCATCACCTAGGACTCGGTCAGGGACAGCTTCTCATCCGGCAGCCTGAAAAGCATCCCATGTCTCCATCGTGTTCCCAGCACCGAGCCATGCACCGCACCCCTAAGGCTTAAGGGGGCATCAATCGCCCTGCACCTGTCCACCTCCAGGAGGTCCCACATCCGTCATGCGACTCGGGGCGGGGCGGAACAACCAAGCTTTTACTGCTGCTTGAACTCAAGACGTCTGCAGTTGGCCGCATTCAGGCATGTACACAAAAACGACGGATTCAAGTACTGCATATATGAAGCAGCACACAAGCGGTACGTCAACAGGGCATCCAGACAAGAGGTGATTTTCACACAGTAAATCGTTTCAGGCTTTGTTCACCGGTGAGCCTGATGTTCAGTTGACCCCGCTGCATGGGACAAACTTGACTGCAAACAACCTCGGGCCCAGTGACCTTGATGAAGCAAGCTGCGTCCTCAAGTCACCCAAGTTTTTTCATGTCAGTGGCCCGAGAGCGTGGCAGTAGATTAATTTCGGCTTTATTGTACTAGGCCTGAGCCAGATGGGCGTTGTCCAATATTCCTTTGCCCTATATCTTTGGCCCTTGGTCCACACTTGCACGGACCTTGCGCGCGAGGACAAATATGCCTAATGCCTTCGCAGGAGTTGAAACTCCAGGACGTTCCTAGCTTCAGACCTTGCGTTTGCTTTTGGTCCGCGCTTGAGCGTATCTTGCGCGCACGGTTTGTTTGCATCGTTTTTATCATTGTAAGGTTCTTCGCATAACAACGAGCAAAGCAACGGTTTTCGGACGCAGCTCAGATGATGCAGCTGCATCCTCAGATGGCTTCAGTCCAGTCACTGCAATGTCGGGTAGAAACAGCTCTTCGCAAGAGAACCCACCACTTGATAGGGTTCTTTGACCACTGAGAGTGGCTCAATACAAAGAAGGAGGATACCGATTATGCACTATGCAAGATGATCACCAACATCCAAATCTTTGTCGTATGTCGTTGGCTGCTCGGTTTACTTCGATACTCAGATGGCTAGACCTGGTCACACGGTATTTCCAGGAAGATCCGACCACTTGCGGAACAGGCATCCTGAAACTCCAGCGAGCCAGTATTTCACTAGCGAGGAATTGGATAAACTCCAGGTTCTCAGGTCTGATCTTGGCAATCTGGGAGACACCGAGGTTATCCTGAACAAGGGCTGTCATTGACACAGCAACCGCACCCACAATGTACCATGAGACGGCGTGACAAAAAAACCTAGTTTTCTGTCCATCAGGGGCAACAGCACGTTGTAGTGGTTGATCTCCATGTCGTAGGAGTCGATGATGCCAGTCCAGCCGTTGAAGACCGGACATGTCATCAGACCATCGATCCTGACAGTCTCCAAGGACCGCATGCTGGCCGTCTCGGTAGCACATCCATCAGGACCTGGCAGATTTCAGCCTTGCTGGCTACTGTATCCACGAGAAGCGGAAACGACATCTTGCGGCGGCGGAGTGACCTTCCTTGGCACCGGCATCTCCGTCTTGACTGACATAATCTTCCTGCTGCCCCATGCCGAGTAGTGTCACCACGTGTACATCTGCAGAATGACACTGAAGACTGCAGCGACCTTCCCGGCATTACACGCGCCGCCGGTTCGCGTCGCGAAGTCGCACATTCCTTTCTCAGTACACGCACGGTTGAGCATATCCTGCAAGGGGCCCGCACCCCTGGAACACTTGCATAGCATGCACGCAAACAAGACTCAGCCAGACACCGAAGAAAGACCGCTCTTTGCGCATAGCTTTGATTGTCCATTCAAGGTCTGCAAGAGGCCTTCTTCTTCTTCTTCTTATTATTGACCTGGTTTTCGGTCAGCAGATGCATGCAAAGCTGCATGTGGCATGCGGCCCCAGCTGCGCACCGTGCACTGGCGCGCGATATCGTTATGCGAGTATGAACGCAAGCAGAGAAACTGAGCAGCCGGCAACCTCCAACAAAAGTGCGAGACCACTGGCAGAGATCCTGCAGGAATTTGCGCGACAACAAAATGAAACTGGCAATGTGCCTGTGCCGCTGTCCTTCCATGGCTTTGAGCGCTGCTCCCGGCAGCTGTCCTTCTGCAGAGCACAATGTCTGTCCAAAGACCACGCCCGTGTTCGTGATTGTGTAACGGCCTTTGGTGGCCATGGAGAACTTGATGCAAAACCTGCCATGCTGTTCTGTCGTAGAGAAACAACCAATCATGCCCGGAACACACTGGCATCAAACCCCGAACAGGACATCTCAGTCAAGTCAAAGGATCATGCATGCACGAAGCACCGTGCGAAAAACAACTCTAAGTCCAGCACCGCTCGAGCTGCCATAAGAACCCCCCTGGCCCTTGGACCTCACACGCGGAACCCGATGCCGGTCACC